CCTTATTTCATCAATAATTCATTGCTCTTACGTAGATACCTTATTTTAGAGTAATACAAAGCCTTTTCTAATTGCTTTTGAGATTTAAAATATTATTTTTGAATTAATAAACTAATTATTACTTAAGTGTCAGGACACTTTTAATGTATGCCAGAGTACCTCAAGACATCCGAAATATTCGGAGTATATGAACTTATCTTTTTAATTAAATTTCTCGTGATGAATTCGCAGCCTTAATTAGAAAATGTCTTTGCCAAACTTCCCTAAATAATTAAAGTGACTGGTTTAAGTATCTTAGGTAATCAAAAAGTAATTACTTTTAATCCCTTTTTCTTGTCATAATAGATTTCCAATCTTTATATTATTAAGAAATAACTAATATGTTCGGGTATTTTCGAAATTTATTTCAGTACTGAAATAACAAAAAGGGACACAAATTTTTTTGCGTCAAATTAAATTTGCATTTTTTTATAAAGAATATTTTTTTTAATTTTTAATTTATCGCATTTTTATCGTTTAATTTCCTCTATTGATCTTGATGTCTTCCATAGGATTTAAATAAAAAAAAATATTGTAAATAAACTATTTAATCATAAATAACAGTTTCATTTTAAACTCTCATTAATCTCATTAGTGATGGAATAGTGTAAATTGATATAAATAAAAAATAAGGTACGTGAAAAAAAATTACTTCGCGTATTAGAGTATAAACTTATTAAAAATGAAGTATTAATGGCCTGGAGCCATCTAGTGATTAGAACTTAAAGCTTCCGAGTTGAGCTTTATTCGAAACCCGAAAAGCAAGCTTAACTGAAAGTTTTAGCATACAGATTTATCACGAAGGATACTTATAATTCTGTGTGCCTGGAGATCCACCATTAAATTTCAAAAAGGAGGTTTAATAGTACGAACCTCCACTGGAAGTTTTTTGTTTGTTTGTCGCTCTAAGGTCATTTTTATGCACACTTCAGGCAAATTACACCGAGACCTACAGTTTAACGTGGATTTCAAGCCACTAACAAACACCCATGCTACCGCCAAGATTCAAACCTGAAGCCTCTGGTACGAAAGGCCAGAGCGCTAGCCAATTGGCCATCAGGCCGCAGGAGTAGGGGAGGAGAAATGTGATAGTAGTATAACAGCCCTGTCCCTACTGTGGTACACCCTGAGTAAAGCTAGATCTGCTACATCTTGAGATCTAATGGCGAATGTACTCAGGTCAATGTCGGTATTCGAAAACAACATTTTAAAAATAAACGTATTTTATCTTTATAATTGCTAACATTAGTTATTCTTTACAGTTCTGTTAATATAGTAATTTATAAAAACTAAAATTGTTATTGTTGTTCTAATGTAGCTGGCAATAAAGAGACAGTTAATCTCCTAAATCATTATTTGATTATTCAAATTGTATTGCATTGAAATATTTATTTGTATGAAAACTGAAATTATAAATATATGAAGTTCTACTAATTTGTTATCAGATTGTGCTTGATAATGTTATTTGAACACTTGTAGTCAGGGCCGGATTTTCCTATAGGTTAACTAGGCTTCAGCCTAGGGCCTCAAGATCAAAGGGGGCCTACATTCAAATTGTTAGAAAAATTAGAAGCCAAGTGGATTCCAAGTGTGTATGTCAAGGATTAAACCATAGTCAGAAAGTCTTTCCAATGACTTGAGCAAAAGGATTCTATCGCTACATGCGGAAAATGCAATTGCGGTGACAAAATGGTTCTTCAGTATAGAAGATCTCCATGTGCAACCTAGATAAATCTGAATCTTCCACACATATACACCATTCTATTGGTAAATGATCTCAGTTCAAAATACCCAACATATAAAAACACTTTTATATTAATGGACGATTATCTACAAATATACATGATAAAAATTTAAGAATAATACCAAAATTTGTGTATACTAATAATACAGTAAAGTCCGGATTATCCGAGTCTGGAAACCTGTATAAAAGAACCTGGTGATGACAAATCTTTGTTAAGCCTGTCTCAAAGACTTGTTGCTTATAAAACTCTTACTGAAGAAGATATTACCGTGTGCATGAAAACTAGTGAACAGCAAGAAACTGGTGACTTACTGCAAATAAGGAAAATACTGTCTATTAGAAGAAAATGACGCATCCGAAAAGTCTATGTTCGATTGAAAGAACTATTGAGTAGAGCTATACTTACAATTCTGATGACACTCATACAATGGGGTAACATTACAACAGAATGTTATATTTAATGTTACTTTTACGTTTACGAAATGAAGTTTTACGTTTATCCTCCCATAAACAAAAAATAGCAAGAACATCTTCAAATAAACAATTTCGTTCCCCATTTTTATGAAAGCATTGAAAGTGAGCATGATAAGGACTTCAAGTACATATAGTACCATTAAAAATTACTAAATTGCGTGTAAATGTGTATTTCGTCTTCTTAATTAGTGGATGATTTATGTAAATCCAGTTTACCTGAAATTTTTACTTTTCAGAAGTGAGCTTAGTCTGGTGTATATTCATTTTTAAGTTTTAACTACTTTTATTTTATTTTAGTAATATATCTGAAATTAAAAATGTCAATTTACACATTATGTTTTTCAGTCATTTTTCTATTTTTTCCCTAATACTAATTCATTGTTATGCCTAAATAATAGGATACCAAACAGATTTATCCTAATAAAATAAAATTTTTAAATATCGTTATGTTAAGATAATTTAAACTGTTCACCCAAAATAAACAATATAATCCCAAGTTCATTCCGATTTAATCTGTACTCTATATTGCAAGCGTTTTTTTTACATCAATGTTGAAAATGAAATTATCAGTACTGAGTACTTTTAAGCTAATATATGATCATTACGTGTAGCATCTTTAAATAGGATTAAATAAAAAACCCTTCACATTAAACTTACGCAGCAAAAACACTTAAATTCGGGAAGACAGACAGATTTCTTTTCTTTTAATAAAGAAGAGATAAGAACTTTAAAACTAATTATATTCCCCATCTTTAAACTCAGTGATTTGATACTTGTTTTTAAGCTACATTATAATAATTTTTCTCATTGTATATATTTTTTAAACTATTTTGAATGAATGAAAATATACACTTTGGTTATCTTCTAAAGATTAATATGAATAAAATGTTATTTTAACTGCATAAAACTGTTTTTATATCAGATTTCTTGCTAAGCATTTAAGATTGGAGAATAATTATACATATTTTGTTTTTCTAAAAAATTATTTAAGTTTGTTTAGATAAAAATTAATTAGTTTGCAAAATAACAGAACACATTTATGCGTCAGATGCATAGATGCAGGTTTTCTTCTGTTTATAAAAAAAACAATAATTATGTATTTTTTTTATTTCCTTAATTAATTTTAATCGATTTTTTTTTCTGAATTGCAACCGTTTTCCGCACTTAAATTGCATTAATACTTTAATTGGGGCCTGAAAGCATGGTGAGTATTGTTTGGTGTCCCCAGGTTTTGGGTTCCGGTCAAGGCAGTGCCATGGATGTTTGTAGTGATTTGGAATCCACTTTAAAATGTAGGTCACGCTATAACCTGACTGCAGAGCGTTGGGCGTGTGACAGACAACCCTACCCCATAAAAAGAAAACATCTCGTGTTGCGAAATCTGCATATGTAGTAGGCAGACGGCCTTTGCCCACCTTGGGGCTGTTGCGCCATTAAAGATGGTTTGATTTTTCGCTTTACAACGAGGGCTAAACAAAAAGGGACATAGAGTTTAAAGTGGATACCGAACCACTAACAAACATCTATTCCACAGCCAGGATTCGAACCTGAAGCCTGTGGTATCAAAGGCCAGAGCGCAAGCAAATTGGCCACTAGGCGAGCCATTGAAGAGAATACGTTGTTCGCATTGTTGGTGAATAATGATGGCAACAACATTGAAGGAGGTCACATAACTAAATTGTTAAACATTCAGTTAGCGAGACAAATGTTTAGTTTGACTTAGTTTTGTATGAGTTAGTTTAGTACGACTTAGTTTTCAATTAGTTGACGCATTTAAAAAGCCTATACTATAAAACACAGAAAAGCTTTTAACTCCAACTTATACATTTATTAAAATGAATCATACTTTAATTTATATAACTAATTTTAATTTCACATAATTGTATTATTAAAATTTTAACAAGGTTCAAAAGCCTTTGTAACTTAAAGAAGACGCTTTATTAATTTAAAATGAAAATTATTTTCGATACTAGGTTGTTTAAAATAGCATTCTCTCGTAAAAAAACGCGGATTTAAATAACTTTTACCAAAATGAACCGATATTATTCCTTTTCGACAAAAATAGCTTCCTGTCATACTTTCTGAAAGAAACCGATCCACATATGCTGATTAAAACCACTGATTAAATTTTGTTTTTCATTAAAATTTTTCTTTTTTGAATATCATTAAGCATCCCGTTATATCGTTATAATATCATTAGAATATCGTGTTCCTCCTTAGAATATCGTTAAGCTTTAATAAGCGGGACTGATTCAGTTCTAAAATGCTGGATTGATTCAATTCTAAATACTCCACCAAAAATTAACTCTTACAATTACTCTGTGTAGACGACATTATGGACATGTTCCAAATATCAGTGCAAAAACATGCATTTTGCAAAATTATGTTGGAAATATAATATAAAAAGAATTGTATTATATCTAATGAGAAAAATTGTTATTACGAATTATTATTACTTTTTTTTTGTTGTTTGTTGTTTCTTATCCCACTTGGCTGGCCATACGTACTCATGATTGAAGAGGAAGGAAGCAGCTTCTGTTGTGATGGAGCACCCGTAGGTAGAAGTCTGACTTTGGCTCCGTAACGCTCTTACAGTCATAGGAGACCGGGACCTCCGGCTTAAAGTGGATTCCGAACCACTACAAACATCCATGGCACCGCCGGGATTCGAACCCGAAACCTGTGGCACCGAGCGCCAGAGCTCTAGACACTCGGCCATTCAGGTCCCAAATTTGTGAATGCCAACAGCAGGCGGTGTTCCCAGGTGGTCACCCACCCAAGTACTGACCGCGCCTAATGATGCTTGACTTCGGTGATCTAACGAGAACCGGTATATTCAGCATGGTATGGCCGTTGGCATTATTGTTACTAAGTATTATAATAAGGGGCCTGGTGGCCGAGTGACTGGCTCTCGGTATCACATGTTTCGGGTTCGAGTCTCGGACGGATATCGAGCCATGGATGTTTGTAGTGGTTCAGAATCCACTATAAACCGCTACAGACTTATAAGTCCCAGTCTCATATGTCTGTAGAGCGTTGGGCGTAGGTCTTATAACCCTCCCCCGTAAAAGAGAAAACCTCCCTCGTTTCGAAATCTGCTAGTAGGCAAACGGCCTTGGCCTACCAAGGGGTGTTGCGCCACTATTGATGATGATGATTGATTCTTCCTCAAAAAAATTTAGTTAATAAGAGAACTTTTATCGATAGTTGTAACAATTTCTTGTCGAATTAGTCTTTTGTTCTTAAAAAGTAGTTTGGAATAAAAAAGTTAAATTTTGAATTCTTTTTAGAAATATTATAATTACATTTAATAAAAAAAATGTGTGACATAAAAAGATTCTTATTTTCTTTTATGATCATTAATCTTTTGGTAGCTTCTAATCTATCTGGATTTCAGCATGAATTTTTCTAATTATAAGGTGTCTTGAAAACATGGATTCCATATTTATCAAAACATATTTTTTGCACTGCACAATATTTAATTCGTTGAAGAAAATATAGTTTATATTGTTGTTTGAAAAAAGCTGCGATCTTCATACTAACTATTAATTCACACCTATTAATTCATAGTCCCTTATTTTTGCATTATTCATTAATCACCTTAACATTTTATCCATGTATATACAGCTCTCATTTTGAAGATAATCAGACAACTAATAAGTTTTTAATTTTCTTTCTTGCTTTCTTAATAGAAGTTAAAATTAACTAATTTGATTAATTTACTAGAAAATTTCAGCTAAATATTTCCATTATCAAAAAATAAACAAGGTTATTATACATAGCTATGTGTGCAAGAAAATAATAGAAAGTATTTCGTATTCAAAGTAATAACATTTATTATCTTATACAAACTCATTGTCATTGCATAAATTAACATCAAAAGAAAGATCCTTTTGGTTATTATATTATATAACAACCAATTATACATAGCTATATGTCATTCATCATCAATAGCACGACAGCCCATAGTAAGCCAAGGCTTTCCTCTGGGTGACAATGGTCCTCCAATTCTTAACCTTCAGTACAGCAAAATCTTTTTCAACTGTGTCTATCCATAGCAACTTGGGTCGTCCTCTTCCTCTTTGTTCCTGTGGCTTTGCCTGAGCCTTTTTACAGGGATTAAATCATTTGTTCTAAATATATGAGCAGCCCAGTTTAATATATTGATCTTAATGAATTTTATAATATCTGGATTTTTATAGCATTTATAAATTTCTGAGTCGTACCCTCTTCTTCAACAACCACATTCTTTAACACCTCCAAGAATAGCTCTTAAAATCTTCCACTCAAATATATACCCAAATGGATACTAAAATGCAATCGGATACATAGCTATGTGTGTAAGATATTAATAGAAAGTATTTAAGTAAAGAAAATATTAACAATTATTAACTTATACAAACTCTTTGTCATTATATAAATTAACATCAAAAGAAAGATTCTTATGGATCTTTTCCCTAAAATCCATTTATATGTAAAAACAAAAAACTCGCGGTTCAATTTCTTTGAAATTCAACTTTAAAATATCAACCTTATTTTAAATAATATTATACTTTAATAAAGAAATTATTAGGTTAATATTCATAAATGCAGGAATGTTTTTTTCCATGTCTCGATTTCGTACCTCTTCTGTCGTAAATTCTGAACATCATTAAAGATAAAAAATCATACAATTTTTGAAAGTCAAAATCACTAACTATGATCTTAAAACAGGAAAGTTATTTTAATTGAATGCATTTTTAAAAAAGAATCACGCCAACCCTTTATTAGTTCCTGTATTAAATGAAGTTTAGAACACCAAGAACGTATTCAATTAAGGAACATTTTTGCAAGGTCTTCTCGCTTACGAATTTTAATTAAATGTAATCATTTAAAATGAAAAATTCTTCAAACATTTCAGAAATTAAAGGAATATTATGTTCGTTAATGAACGTCCAGTTTGAAGTCAGCCTTCAAGATGAGAGCTTATTGTTGTAGAATTAAAATTTTGTGCTTTTCGAGATGGTTTATTAAGAAGAGTGGGAAAGAATTATTAAAAATGGCCCAAAATGAGTTAACGATCTTAAATGAAATTAATTTTTCAAAGCATATTTTAAATTTTAAAAATATTTAAAATTTAAATTCATTTCATAATGTAGTGTTTAAAAAAATTAAATAATGAAGAAATACCACGCAAATATTTCTTACTTAGGGTTAACTGCAACCTGGTAAATGGAAAGGGAAGCTTCTGGTCTAAACGAGCAGTCTAACGAGGTCTAACGAGCATCTTAAGTAATTTTTTTTTTCAAAACATATTTTAAATTTTAAAAAATAGTTTAAATTTAAATTATTTCACAATAGTAGTGTTTAAAAAATTAATAAATGAAGATATAGCACACAAATATTTCTTACTTAGGGTTAATTACAACCTTGTATTTGGAATGGGAATCTTCTGGCCTAAACGAGCAGTCTAACGAATCCTAACGAGCATCTTAAGAATTTTTTTTAAAAAACGTATTTTAAATTTTAAAAATAGTTTTAATTTAAATTTATTTCAGAATGTAGAGTTTAAAAATGAATTAATGAAAAATTAGCACACAAATATGTCTTCCTTGGATTAACTACAACCTTGTAATTGAAATGTGGTGTTTCTTCCTTAAAAAGTTCACTTCGAAGCACAACAATCAAGTTGAAACAAAATCTTCTGTGTTTGCATTGGATCATCATAAATCAAAAGGGTGGAGTGGCCTGATAGCCAATTGGCTAGCTCTTTGGCGATTGGTACCACAAAGAATTCTTTTTTTTAATGTCAATCGATTTGGTGTTTTTATGGTAAGCTTTTAGTAGATTCAGCTATACTCAGCATAAGTAATAGAAGGAGGCTGCTATATTTCTAATGTTGTCTTCTTACAAAGAAGCTGGCTCCCATTTGTAAGAAATGTGAGAAAATTGGAAAAAAATATGTCAACAATCAGCTAGTCTTAAGGCAACTAAGCCTATTGACGAAGTTCGAAAAAATCTATCATTGTATTAGTAAAAGTTATGAAAAGACGGGAAACTAACTCGTAGTTTCTTTCTTCAAAATGTGGCCTAATGGCTAATTGGCTAGCTCTCTGACCCTTGTTACCACAGGCTTCAGGTTTCTAATCCTGGCGATGGCATCAATGCTTGTTAGCGGTTCAGATTCCACGTTAAACTGTATGCCCCGGTCTAATTAGCCCAAATTGTGCACGAAATGACCGTAGAGCGACACATCAAAAGGCTGAAAATTCTCTGAAGTTGATTCTAACAGAAGAGTTAACATTGAGCCCATCGTCTAACAATTCTCAAATGAAGTGGTACACAGTATTAACGTTGTCCCAATAAATTTGTGGTCTCTTTGCCAAGTTCTCAACAAGTTTCGTATTAATTACTTTTAATATAAATATAGTGTAAAATATTAATAATAATAATAAAATATAAAACTGAAAAGAAACTGCAACTTTTTAAATAAAGGGATGATATTATCATTTTTATTCAACTATTTCTTGTAAATTAGAATTTCCGCCAAAAGCTTTGTTGCCAAACATTGAGACTATTTTGATTGGTTTGTCGCTCTATAGTTATTTTTGGCACACTTTAGGCTAACTAGAGCGGGGCTTACAGTTTAACCTGGATTCTTAACCACTAACAAAAATCCATGCCACCGCCAAGATTCGAATCTGAAGCCTCTGGTACCAAAGACCAGAGCGCTAACCAATTGGCCATCAGGTCACATGTGACTATTTTGAAGTAATATTTGGTTTGATTTGTCACCTCTACGGTCATTTTGTGCACACTTTAGGTTAATTAGACAGGGACCTGCAGTTTAACGTGGATTCCGAACCACTAACAATCATCCATGCCACAGCCAAGATTCGAATCTGAAGTCTCTAGTACTAAAGCCTTGTTAGCAATTTGGCCATCCGGCCGCATATGACTATTTTGAAGAAAGAAGCTACATGTTAGTTTTCCGTCTTTTCTTAACTGTTACTTATAAAATGATAGATTAATTTGAACACTATCAGTAAGCTTAGTTGTCTTAGGACTGGCTGTTTGTTGGCATAGATTTTTTATAGGTTTTCTCACATTTCATACAAATTTGAGCCAATTACATTTCCTTTCATACAAATTTGAGCCAAGAAGACAATCAACCTCATTCAACCTATAGCAACCTTATTCTATGACGTATCCTGAGTATAGCTGAATCTACTGAAAACTTTTTCACAGCAACACCAAATCGACTGGCATTTAAAAAAATTCAATTTCTGAACATAGTTTTATCATGATTTATTCCAATTTAAGTTAATTTATTTAAAAAATAGATTGATTATAAATATCTTTCTTAGAAAATTAAAATCAATTATGAAAAAAATGAAAATATAAATTCTTAACCAGTTTTTTATGTAACTTTTTTTTACTCATTATATGAATTTTTTATTTATTTTATATTCTCTTTCAAGCTATAAAAAATATTCATTTCATAAAAAATTTTAATTAAGCAATTAAAAGCAAAAAAAGTTTTTTTCTCATAAAAATAAAAAAAGGAAAATTTATAAAGCAAATTGTTGCACAGATTGTTAATAGAATATAATTGGATATTTTTAACATAATTGCAATGCTCAAATAAATTAGATTTGTTTAAAAAATAACAGTATGTTTAATTTGAGAAGCTTCTTCAAAGAATCATAAAAAACATGTGTATGTGTGAAGTATAATTAAAGCAATTATAAGTTGTTTTATTATTTGATTTTCATTTGAACAAATTTATTTTAACCATGTTAAATTATTTTAATACTGTTATTTCATTTTTTTTTTTTTTTTTTTTTAAGTTTTACGAAGTAGATTTCTGTAATAA